AACAGAGAGGATTGTGCCTAAAGCAAACTGCCTAAAGATTGTACAAAGTGCCTAAAGAAAAACTACGTAAACTAGAGCCCGAAAGTATCAAATTCACATTCATCGGTTATTGTAAATTCATTAAAGGTTACAGGTTTGTCAATCCAAATATACGAAAAATTCCCATAAGCAGAGATGTAGTAATTATGGAAAACTCAATAAGACAAGACCATGAAGTGGTACTTTTGAATTCAGGAAAAAGTAATAATACAGATAAGGGAACGGATACACATGAAACTTCATTGCATAGTTTTCAATCAAATGATACAACTACACAAATAAGCAGTAATGATTCATTTCATTCTGATGAAAGCTCTTTGTATATTCCAGAAAGAAAAATTAATTTAGAGCAAGACCGGCCTATTCAACTGGATCAATGAAATCTAAAAAAGGAAATAGAACTAACCTCCATACAAGTGAAGTTCAAGAAAATGATAAAGTACCACAGACATCAAAAAATAAAAATAAATGGCAACGTTAAATAAAAGCGGAACTAAAAACACATAAGGAATATGAGACATGAAAATTTGTAAAGAAACCACAAGATTCAAAGGTGATGAACTGTAAATGGGTTTTTCCGATAAAAGACGATCCATTAGGTGTGATCTACAAATCTAGATTCTGTGTAAACGGATGTTCATAGAATTATCTAATTGACTATACAGAAACTTTTTTTTTTACTGTGTGATATAATTCTCTGCGAATTATATTTTCAGCGGTATAAATTTAATATTGAACTGAACAAGTTCGGTTTTGTAAATAACTATTTGGACCAATGTGTCTATCCGAGTTATAGAAAAGGAACCAAAGTTACTTTATGTTGATGATGGATTAATTGTATCTGAGGAGAAAGATATCATAAGTAAGGTAATCAATGATCTTTATTCAAGTTTTGAAATAAGAACCGTGAAGTAAAAGACTTTTGTAGGTCTTCAAATAGAACGGTCTGACAAGCAAATATTCATTCACCTGAAGAAGTAGAGATTAAAATCACTTATTAAATTCAATGAGAATGATACTAGTAAAAACAGCAGTTAAAGAGAAGATACCATACAGGGAGACAGCAAGGTCTCTTATGCACCTCACAATTATGAGTAGATCAGATATCATGTTTGGAATAAGATTAGTAAGTGATTCTATAAACTGCTATAACAATACTCACTGGGCTAGTGTGAAAAGGATATTCAATATTTGCAGGAAACGCAAGTATATAGATTAGTGTATTTTTCAATAGAAGACAATAAAATAGAAGGCTGGAGTGACTCATGGGAAAGTCAACGATAACAGCGTATAGCCCTTTCCAGTACAGAAGCAGAATTTATGGCTTATGCTTCGCTACGAAAGAAGCATTGTGAATCAAAAGACTACTAATTGATATTAATGCTTATCATCAGGATACAATTTGTTTATGTGTAGATAATCGAACTGAAATATCAGAGATTAAAAACATGGATTTTCACAAAAGGTGCAAACACATTGATGTTAAATATAAGTTCATTAAAGAGAAGTTTAAAAGGAATGATATAGATGTAGGATACTTATGTACAAGTGAGCAGTGCGCTGACATATTTACAAAGGCTCTTTCTTGAATAAAATTTGAGTATCTCAGAGACAAATTTGGAATAACAATTTGCCAATAATTATCCTTCGATATTGTAGCATACTACATAGTTTCAGCTAGATCTTATGCTATTATTGTAGTTTGTGATAATACTATTATTAATTATTATTAATTAAAAAATTGAGATACAGAAAAGCTTTAATTTGGTGGGTATATTAATTTGAAATTTGTCGTCTTTACCGACAGTTTCAAAATTGTACTACAGATCGACATACAAAGCCAATGCTAATTTTTACAAATTACTTTACTCTCAAATGTTGTATCAATGTGTGACAAATAAATACAAGATATAAAATTTGCTAATCCACAAACTAAGCTTTGAACACAATGATGTATGTAACGCTAATTATATTGCTATTAGATAACTACGCTATGTGGCTACCACGTCAGATAGATGTAACATCTGCAGTATAAACTTGTGACTTTGATAGTATATTGAAGTAATATAACTGTTGCGAATTAAGGCTGGGCTGAAGTCAGAAAGGCGACTGATTCCCCCTATCTAAATGCATGGGATCGGAATATTTCTAAATTCTTTGCCAATTTACTATTATTTCTATAAAATTAGGTACCAAATTACAGAGGAATTAATGCCGGACTGACGTAAACAACAACTTTTTGTATGTAGTGAATATTTTTATTAAAAAAAATAGAAAGAATAATGAACAAATAATGAATTGACTTGCCGCGCTTAAATTCCAAGATAGCGGCCACATCATTCAGATGAATAATCACTAATTATTTCATTTTCATACGTTTTCGCCCAAAATTCGTGTTTGCGTCAGTCCTTGCTACCTATCTGAATGTCAAAAAAATCAATTTATAGTATAAAATTGAATAATTTAGATATAATTAGAAATATTGTATTCCAGATGATTTTCTCCGGGAATTCGTTCAAAAAAATTCAGATATCCGTATCCAGAACTGATGGTGCCCTGCATTTTGGCGAGTAATTTGTATCTGTGTGTGTACAATACATGTTACAAATGTAACGTATGAATTAATCAATTCTCAAGTTTGAATTGCCAGCTGTCAGAAACTTCGGCAGCCATTTTGGGACTAGGTCGCTAACCAATCGACCGAATAATCAATAATCCTTAATCTAGTTATTTATTTGACTAATTTTTAGTGTCCATTTTAACTAATGGAGTTCCCGTCGCCATTCTTTTTCTGTTCTCATTCACGTGTATACGCCATTTTACTTCTTTTGCTCTGAAATCTTTCCTGTCCGAGTCAATTATTGGTGCTAGTGCGATTCTAAGTCAACAGAAACATTCACCAGTTCATTCTACAAGTAATTTGATAAACATTTACTGATAATTTAAAGTAAATTCACGTAATAAAATTAAATTCATTTTGCATGGCATTGATAGGCTAACGCCACGTGCACAATCATATCCTTTCTCAACTTGAGAAGCGTGCTGAACTCGTGTGAGAGGTCAATAATACCGAACACACCAAGTTGAGCATTTTTTAGACATTCGATTAAAATTCAGTAATTAAAATTAATATTCAGCGATTTCTAAAGACATTCATTCTTTTTCTTTAGTGACAAAAAATATGTACAATGTATATTGTTCATTGCTAGTGCTGAAAATAAAGATTATATTTTTTTATAAAACCTGACGTTCTAATTGTTCTGATCCGGCACAATCTTCCCTAATCTTAATTAGTTAGGCTATTCAAGTTGACTAATTGTCACCAATAACATAAATGTAACTTACCGTTATATAACTTGTTACATATTCGTACCCCTATGTTATACTGCTCTTATATTCAATGTTTACTGGGACATGAACCAAGAGGATTCTATATCAGATCTTGAACAGATTCTAGAGGTTTGAATTAGTAGACATTTCGTCAGGATGATTAAGGAAATATTAGAAGTATGCTCACTTTACTAACGCATTGTAGTCAGAGCGTGGGCAATCGAGCCTGCGTTTTACCGTCTAGTTCGCTGATTAACCGAAGAGCGATGATTTCTGACGGTTTTTATAGTAGCTGATTGGTCTATGAATTGAGGAGATCGCAGCAAAAATTTAGGACAGAAACAGAAAACTATCAAGTTTCTACATGAATGTCATATCTGTTTTCAAGACATTGAAAATAAGGAAACTGTGAATTTTTGGAATTTCTTCCACGTGAAACAGTGTGTTGAATTGAGGAGGAAACATGTTTCCCTGATGATTAAATATTGTTGAAATAGCTAGTTCGATGAACTGCGACTTAAAAATTTCGTACATAATACTCGTAAATATACAAACTCATTATTATAAAACTATTTTTGACTTACCGTTTTTTTCTTCAACGACGTTGTTGTTAAGAAGGTTCTAAATCATCAAAATCATACAATATATTTATAGTATTATGTTCCCCAGATCTCAATCGTTTGAAACGTGGCGTTTTTATCTGTTTACAATATTTGTGCACTATTCGCATGTTGACGCGCAAAGCGCGACATTGCTTTAGGCAATTCCGGATCGTACTAATACAGGAGTAGGGATAAAAAATGGTAGTGGAGATGTTGCACTATTGAGAGCGTACGAAATTTCTTGTGTTGTACTGTGAGGTGTTCTATGGTATAGACTGTTCGTATTTACATAAATTTTAATTATTATTATTCTCATACACTTGAACAATACGTAAATCTTTTGTAGATAAATGGAACAATTTATTTTAATTTTGTATCATACTGATACCTGATATTCAACAATACTTTCTTCTTATCCCTACAGTCAGGACGCTATGTGTACTCCATCTAAGCTCCTCTCTACCGACTTAACGAACTACTATGCACATAGTCTATTGGGTTGCGTCTGCAACCAACCGACGCCCTCACCATTGCATCGCATTTATACGAGGACACAAAGAAATCGTCGATAACTTGTGTCGTTAAAAGCCTCTAACCTTAATTGACCGAAATCACCTGGTTCTAAACATTGTCGTTCAATTTTGCAACCCTAGGTGCGGGCTTAGATTTCGGTCTTTGGGATTACCCGTTTTTTTCGCTTTGATCAGAAGCCCCAGCTATTTGTAGTGTGAGGAAGTGCATCGTCATATTGTAAATAGCTAAAAGAATGTATGATTAATAGTATAAAGTTTTTTTGGAAGACGCGAAATTTTCATTAGAAAACATGAATACCTGAAAATAAAATAAAATGAAAATAAAATATAATAATAAAGAAAAGTACCCTATACGGTTGATCCACTGACTGCAGGTGTTCTGCGAAGATTGCTGGCCTGCAGCTTGTGTCTAGGTGCTCCGACAACACCCATGTGTGGATCAATAAATAGGTTCATATCCTTAGAATAGAATAGTAATTCTCTGAATTACACTTACGATATGTGAATCTCGAGAAGTAAATGTGATAGGGTCTGACTTGAATTCTCGACAGAGAAATTCAACATTTCCCCAGGCTGTTGAATGACCGAGTTTATTCTTGACAGCATCAATAATTTCTATTTCGTAATTTTCTGCTCGAAAGAGAACCTGAAACAATTTACATACAACAGTTTAAGTATGGATACAAATATCGAATTCTTATATTAAAAATGATTAAAAATTCATTCGAATTCAATCCAATAAGTCTTTTTTTTCTCTACATTGCCTTCCTCTATGAAGTGAACATTTCAGATTATCCATCATCACTGTATTTTATTGCTGTTGTCTCGATCTTTATTGTCTTGAAGCTGCTAAAAATCTACGCTACTACACTACAATAATAACTATTATTTTGATGCCAGCCAATTTTTCCTGCATTGAATAAATTCAATAATGGATAAAAAATTTTGTCGATTCGAGATTGTTGCAGACGTAATGAATCTATTTGAACTCAAGGTTGTAATAACAATAAGGTATGTCATAGTATTAAAAGCTATTCTGATAATATTATAGTTTTGTAAAGGTGCAATTTAATTCGCAAATCTAACCTCTCATTCCGAACTTAGATTTTTTAACGTAAAATTGTACGAGCATTCCGAAAAAAACCATTTGCAGATAAAAATTACGTATGAATCATTGTCTTTGTTTGTTATAAGCAGAGAATATATCTTTTTATCTCCGTCTTATTTGTAAGAGAGAAGACTGCGAGTTTCGGCAGTTCACACGTTCGAGTAAGCTCAGTTTTCACCTTTTGTTTCAAGCCCGAAACTGTTGATACATAAATGTAAATTTTCTGAATTTTCAGAAACAAAGAAGCACACTTTGGCATGAGGTCACAAATTTATATTGATGTCTGCCATCACCAAAAAACAACTTAGGGAACAAAATCGATAAATGTTTAACGGACTTTTAAATTTGACTGTTTTTTAAAGTATATAGACTGGACTATTGAAACATTTGAAACATTGTTTAGGCTTAGAATTACTAAATAATTCATTAATCTAATTATTCGCTTCATATTTAACTTCTTCGAAAGAAATTAAACAGTATATCAGTCCAACAATAAACTTAATAAATTGTTTAAAGTAGGGATGTTGTTTTTCGAGAAAATAAACTGCTTAATAATTCAAAGTTAGTTAATTTGAGCTAAATTATCGATAACGGATGAGCTACGCCGTAGGATGTTGTCATGAGAGGTGCACATATACAAGAAAGACACGTTGCTTGAGCTAGACTCACTTATATTTGAATAAATACACTAATTTTCGGTACAACAATAACTTCGCCACAATTTTAGAAGTTATTCAAAGCGCTTTAAGCGATCTAGAGCTGATTTACGAGCTTGAAGACTTTTTAGTAAGCAAAAACAGACTGAGCGGCAACGGAACACGTTTTTGGAGCCGTGATTGGTTGACCGCCGAAAGAAGAGCTAAGATAGGATGAGCGGGTCGGGTGAGCTTGTCTGAGCACGAGCTGAGACGAAAGCGAGTCTAGCTGACAGGTTGCAGTTAAGTTTTACGCAGCAATATTTGAGCATCAAATCCGTATGAACAAAAAACCTCGAGAGCAAATCAAAATCTCCATTTGTTTCAACTGATTTTTTTATGGTAATAAGATCCTATTAAAACGTTCAATATGGTTACCCTTGATATAATAGGGAATTCTGAGACACCCATATTCCTATTGAATTCTATCAAATCCTATTGAAACATCAAAAAGGAATTGCCTGTTTTCAGTAGGAATGTCGTAATCTCAAAAGTTCTATTGAATTCACTAAAACCCTATTAAAGAATCGAATCTGATTCTCCAGTATTCTACAGGAAATTCTGAGACAAAAATATTCCCATTAAATTCTATTTAATCCAATTGGGAAATTGAATAGAATTCAGCGTTTCTCGATAGGATAACGGAATAAGATTTAGCGTTCTTCAATGGGATAACTAAATAGGATTAAGGTACTTTCTATAGGAAGATAAACCTTTAATGAGATTTAATAGCCAATTTCCAAAGCAATTTTTCTATTGAACGTCCTTCTCCTAATAGGATTGTTGTTGCAAGGTAGAAACGAACTCTTCCTGTTTATGACAATAAAATTTGTTACACAAAATCTCAAAAAAGATCTATGATATCGATACGATTTCCCACAACAATTTTTTTGCTAAAAAAGGGTTAAAAATTACGTGAAATAGGAATAAACAAACTCGATTTGTTTATAATAATTGAACAATGAAGTACGCTATCGTATCAAGTTTTTTCGAAAGAAAATTTTTTTCCCACTGGAAACGGGTTACTAACTCTATTACATGAATATGAAAGGACACTTTTTGTTTTTAACAATGTTTTTGTTTTTAAAATGATATTCGTTATTAAAAATTGGAAAAAGGATCCATGCAACATATTCGAGTTCCTCAAATAGCAACTTTTTTTTTACTACAAAAATATTATTCACCATGTAACATCCATGCAATGAATTAGAGTTCTTTCAACCAAGAATTTTTTTTGTATTGAAACCAGGCTACTCATGTATTGTAATGTAATTCAAAATGTAATACGAACGGGGTCAATTAGTTTATAACCATTGAGTCGTTGTCAATGAAAAAAAATAGAATCTCATAATGGAGGTTGGAATTTTCCGGTTATTATTAATACTCACAGAATTACTACTCTATTTGCGAATCCCGAATTGTGACATATCTCCACGATTTAAGGTCCCTAGAGTCGAATACGGTCGTTTTCCAGTGGACGTCTGTGTGTGTGTGTGTATGTACGTATGTGCGTATGTGCATATGTTCGTTCGGAATTTTCCTGGTCGATTATCTCAAGAAAAAAAAATCATATCGATGTGGGACTAATTGCATTCGACGCGTATTTATGTAACTTAGAACTGATTAGATTTTCAGCAAAATCAATTTAGCCATTTTTTTTTGCAGGACCAAGAAACTAGCAAAACTGGAAAACGACCTGCATTTTGCAATTTACAAATTATACTATTTTTTAGACAAAATTTCAAGATCTTTAAAAAAATATGAATATTAAATAATTAGAATACTTGCATGAAAATATAATGACAATATTTTATCAAAAAAAAAATTTTAGATGACAAAATCAGCAATGAAAGAATTTTAAACTCGTGTCAGTATTGAGAAAACAGTATTAAAGACCCTATAATAGTCCATAATAATTGTTAATAATATGAAATTGTGTCCATAACAGTTAACCATTGTTACTTACAAATGATTATTGATCATAGTAATATTTAAATAAAAAGTTTTAAATTGTTATAAACAATAAAGATAGGGATCCAGGCTATATAAACGAGTACTTTTAACGTATAATTTTTTCTTTGACTAAAAAAATGTTACCAAGCGTATGACATAAATGAAAACATACTTTTTCCGTTTATAACAATGAAATTTGTTATGAATAATAAAAAAAAGGATCTATGAGGTATATTTGAATCTTTTTAACGCACAATTTTTTTTTTTACTGAAATGAAGTAACTAACCATATCAAATGAATAAAAACATACTCATTTCGTTTATAACAATTCCATTTGTTATAACGAATGGAAAACACGATCGATGGAACATACTTGTGTTCTATTAAAGTGTAATTTTTTATTTTACTAAAAAAAAGTTACCGACTGTATGACATACATAAAAACATGCTTCTCTGTTCAAAACAATCAAATTTGTTATAAATAATGAAAAAAGAGATCCATGCGATATATTTGAATTCTTCCGACGCGTAATTTTTTTTTTTACTAAAAAAAAGCTACCAACCGTATAACATAAATCGAAACTTACTCTTTTTGTTTATAACAATTAAATCTGTTATAAACAATTGGAACCGGGTTCTATTCGCGATGTTTTTCATTTTTTCCACTGAGAAGTTGGTCGCGTAGACTTTTCGGGTCGCATCTAGACCACTGCAGAGCACTGATTTTTTTTCACATATTTTTTTGATCGTACCTTTTTTTCATTTATACTAATTTCACTTGAATGTGAACTTGGTGCTAATTTTTACAGGCATTCGTAGATGCCTGTTTTTTTCGGAATTCACTTCTTTCTGAAGTGAAAACTTCTAAAGCTTGTAATGATTGTGTAACTTCTTTTATTAATAAATGTAGCTCAAAAATTTAGATTTTCAAAAATTTTAAATACAAAAATATTCAAATAAAATCAAATTGTTATCGTCGTAGCAATCTCACAGTGAGTTTGAAGAAGAAATTTCAGGCAATCATGGGGACTGGTGATAGATGTAAAACTTAGAACTATCATATAACAATAGTTTGTTTGAATTTTTGAATAAATTGTAGTGTGAAGAATTGAAAATTTATGATTTGTAAATTGAACCTATTGGTATTACTCCGCGTTTTACTATCTATCATAGCTATAGACATACTATTAACGTTTCCATATCGGTAACGCAGATGGTTCGGTGATGTGAACTTTAAAGTTTGTCTCCTACTAAAAATTGCTTGGAAAATTTGAAAATGTAAATTTCTACCTGTGGACAAAATACAATATGGCAGATAGAATATTTTTCTTTTATGTAGTTTATTGATGTGGAGTTGCCAACTCACGAAATCTGAGAATCTTGACTTTTGTCGAATATTTTTTAGAAAACTTGAGACTTTCAATCTTTACGGATGAATATCTTTTCAATAAATAGACTAAAAATTATGATTAATGCTGCAAATAAAATCTCATATATAATCTATTGATGAATTATGCGTATGTGCTGTACTTTAAGAGTGAACAGAAAAAATAGATTTGAGAGGAAAAGGGGAGGGCAAAATTTCTTGTATAGAGTGTCTGCTGTTGCGCGCTGTCATGACGAAGTGCGAGAGAGAGAGAGAGAGAGATAATATGAAAATGAGTGAGAAACAGAAAGTGGGACGTGGACTCGGCGCGAATGACGAGCAGATCACTCTTGATAGACTAGAAAATTAAAAATTTTTAACGTCTATTGTCACAAATAATGTACATCACGGAATGTTACAGAATCATAATGATTTGAAAAGAGGAATACTTTATTGAACCCTATGTTTCCATAAATTATGTATTGCTCTTCGATTTTTATTTCCATTCCCATCGGTTTTTCTT